ATTTTAAAAAGGGACAATCAACAGAGAAGACGTATTCACGAGCAGGAAATTTTAAATTATTTTACAAACAATCCTCAGAATAGCCTCAGGATTGCTAGTTTAGAAAGTATCCGACGCTGGCCAAAAAAAAATAACATAAAACCCTATAAACCTAAGTTTCTTCACACTCTGGAACCAGGCGATAATGAGAAACGAATGGAGTTTTGTCTCTGGGCACAGGGACAATATCTCAATTACCGATTTCTTTTAAAAAATATCTTATTCAGCGATGAGGCCACATTCACGACGAATGGAATTGTATCATCACAGAACTCGCGGTGTTGGGTTTCAGAAAATCCAGAGTGGATAATTAATTGCCGAAGACAATATAGTCAGAAAGTTAACGTTTGGTGTGGGATACTTAACGAGAGAGTCATTGGTCCGTTCTTCTTTGAAGGGAATATGAATGGCGAACAATTTCTACATTTTCTTCAGAAAGAATTTTTTAATGCAGTCGATAATCTTCCATTACAAGAGAGAGTAAATCTACATTTTCAGTTGGATAGATGTCCAATACACAATGCGAGACATGTCAGGGAGTGGCTTAACGAGAATCTCCCCAATCATTGGATAGGTCGAAACAGTCCATTAATTCATTGGCCACCCCGATCTCCGGATCTTACCCCATTTGATTTTTTTCTGTGGGGCTTTATTAAGTCCAACACGGCCAAATAACCGGGAGGTATTGTGCACTAGAATAAGGAAAGCGTGTGAGGAGATTACCGCGCATCAATTACGAAATGTTGTAAAAAATATAAAAAAAACGTTATGAAAAATGTATAGAATTAAACGGAGGATTAGTGGAAGCTACAAAAATTGAAATTTAATGACGTGATTAGTGTAAATCAATTTGATAAACTGCTTTTTCATTTAAAAATGTAATAATTTTTTAATCATTACTTTTTTTTATCAATTGTTCATATTAGAGTAATTGTTGTTTATTTTGTGTATACTGGTCTTTATGATTCTTATTAATAATTAGTAAACCAGTGTTTGTTATTTAATTTTTGTTTCCCTTTAGGTTCTATTCGGTTTTTATAAAAGAATAGGTCCACCGACAACGGCAAACACTGTTGATACCGATATTGTCATAATTTTTTAGGGGCAAACTTTTTTTCGCAAAAATTGGTACAAATGCAGTTGAAGAGTTCCTACATCCAGTGGTGTAGTCAGATTTTTTATAAAAAAATCGCTAACAAAATTTTGCTATTTTTCACTTAAAAAAAAATTCGAAGTAGGCTCTGAAAATCAAAATTTCGTCTTCAAATTTTGCATCAAGATAGAGCTTTTGGAGATCTATCTTTAAAAAAAAAACCGGTTCATATCGGTCCATAAACAACTTTTTTACGCGAGTGTTTCCATTCGTAATGGGTCACCCTGTATTTTCATTTATTTAATGAGTATTTTAGATCACATGGTGTTAGACCATTTACAAAGAGAAAAATATNTCTTTTTTTTAAATCAATATGATATTTCATTTTATATAATATAACTTTTTAGCATTTCTAGTGACTTATTGTTCAATCATTGTTTAAATTTAATCTTCATACGTAAATAATCTAAGTTTATTCTACATTCAATTTATCAAAATCACTTGAAATCATATGTATTTCAATATATACAGACATTTCAAAAATAAATAATGATACTAACGTAAGAACATTAAAATTCTTAAATATATATCTACATGTACGATGACTTGGCACGCCAGCAATTATTCTTAAAATACGTTTTTGTATGACAAAAACTGAATGAGACAAGGTAGAGTTACCCCAAAAACATATTCCGTAACGCAATCTAGACTCCACGTATGCATAATATAAATTTAACAATTGTTGTTTGTGCAAAATTTCTTTCATACACTTTATTAAGTAGCTTACTGAACTTAATGTAGATATAAGATTATTGCAATGCATTTTCCAATTTAATGTATCATCCAAAGTAACTCCTAAAAATTTGACAGTCTGTTTCATCACTGGTAATAGTACAGTTCTTAATATTTGCCGCAACAGACTCAAATTTTTTTTACCTATTGTGAAATCTAATTAATTTAGTTTTGTCGGTATTTAAATATAAGTTATTACAACTGAACCACTTAGACACATTTTGTACAATGTATTTTCTAGATTAGTAGTCAGGTCTTTTGTTGACTTATTTGAAATAATTAATGATAAATCATCATTACCTATCGAACCCTCCAATGAATTTATATAAAGAATAAATAGTACAGGGCCTAGGACTGAACCTTGAGGAATACCGATGTCAATGGAATTAGATTCAGATTTAAATTCGTTAGTAAAGTCATCACTTGTAGAAGTAATAGACACATATTGTTTTCTATATTTTAAAAAAGTAGAAATCCAGTTTAAAGCAGTACCCCGGACACCATACTTATACAATTTTTGTAGTAAGTTATCATGCTGTATGCAGTCGAATGCCTTACTAAGGTCACAAAAGATGCCTACGGGGCACTCACCCATGTCAATACATTAACCAATTTCACCGTAAAAAGAATGTATGGCAGTAGTAGTTGAAAATCCTGCTCGAAATCCATGTTGATGAGTGGTTAAAATACTATATTTATTTATAAACGACATTAGTCTATCTAGATAGGCGTATTCAAAAATTTTTGAGAATCCACAGGACACAGTAATAGGCCTGTAATTATTTAATAACGGTGGATCCCCCTTTTTTAGAACAGGAATTATTTTATCTCCGAAAAAACTCCAGTCTGAACTGATCTTCATCTTTGGTCTGCATGCCTACAAAATATTTTTTCTAAATTACTGGTAATACCTGCACAACGTATAGATTTACAGAACCCTGTCCCAGCGAAAATTATCTTATTTTTTTCAAATAACTTGGCATCGCCGCATTGAATACAAAAAACAAAGACATCGAAGGAAAGAGAATTTTCTGTAGAATACAAATTTGTAAAAATATACAGAGTGTTCCATTTAAGAAAAAACACCTTAAAGATGCTCCGCCGTAATACCATATTTTGGTAAAATATTTGAAATAAAAATTAAGAATTGTTTGATAAATTACTTTATTTCGAACAAGTTATTGGGCAGTTGTCAATTTGGCTTTAGACGTCTTTCGACAGTGCATGGCATTTCCCATGTTGTGAATTGCGTGGTAGAGAGACTTGAGAGGGCAGAACTGGTTGGGCTTATTCTATGTGATCTTAGCAAGGCCTTTGATTGCATTACTCATGATCTTCTCATTGAGAAACTTTTCCGTTACGGTGTTAGGGGGATACAATTAGAACTATTCAAATCGTACCTTACTGCCAGAAAGCAATGTGTTGCTCTAAAAAATGATAGATCTGATCTAACTGCAGTAGAGAGCGGGGTACCTCAAGGTTCGGTTTTGGGGCCCTACTCCTTATAATTTATGTGAATGACTTTTCTCTCTATTTGTCTCTTGAGAGGTGTATTCTCTCTACGTTGATGATACATCCTCGATTTGTAGCAATAATATTGCAGTTTCCTTACAATTTGATGTAAATGTATTGGAAAATAAAACCAATGAGTGGTTCGCAAATAATAATCTTAAATTAAATTTGGATAAAACTGGATATTACAAATGGATCCACAGTGGTCACCTTACGTTCATTCTCTAAAGAAAAAACTGTCGTTTTATTCTTTTATTATTCGTAAATTTTAGTCAAAGTGCTCTCTTAAAAGTATATTTTTCATTGTTCCACTCTCATTTATGTTACGGTATTACTTTCTGGGGTAACTGTTCTTCTGCTATACAGATATTTAGAATGCAAAAAAAGATTATAAGGTTTATTGCTAACGCAAAGTGTTTGGACCATTGTCAGCCTTATTTTAAAAGAGTAGGTAATGCCTTTACCTACTCTTTTTATATTTTACCAGCTTTTGGAAATACCCAAAAATATTAATACGTTTGTTCGTAACTCTAACGTACATTATCATAATACCTACTCGACAGACTAGTTATTTGCGACCTCGTTTCCGACTAAATCTATCATCCAGAAAAGCACCTCAGCTAAATCTTTACAATATTTTACCTGATGCCGTAAAAGAGTTAAATTCTTGTAAATTTAAACTAAGTATCAGGAAGTATCTTCTCGAAAATTAATTGTTTTTATTCGGTGCAGGAGTATCTGAGTGCTACCACCATGTTTTTAAATTTTTAATTATTTTTTATCTTGATTATTTTAATTGTACTTTTGTCGTTATGTAAGTTTTGTTAATCTGTTATTTTTTGTTTTAATACATTATTGATTTTTAATATATTTTTTTTACTATTGATATATGTTTGACTTACTACAGTTCATGTACTTCTTTGTATAAAAAGTAGTTCATGAATTTATCTATTTATCTATTTATCTATTTATCTATCTATCTATAATGCATCACCCTGTATAATTCAAAATATTTTTAAAATGTGAACTTTTTGAAGTACATCACTCCCATAAAATATTTCTTTTCAAATCTTTATAATAAGGGAGAGCTTTGTCACACTATTGAGCCATCCTGTATCTACAGTAAAAAGTAAGATATTTAAGGACAAATTAAACAGTAGGTTTTGAAAACTGAATGAAATTTTTTCAAATAAGTGACAAACAAGCTACATTTAATTTGATTATGTTCTAAACCTAGGTCAAAATATATGAATAATTCTACTTTCGATGTTTTAACCAATTGCAATTTGTGATAATTAAGTTGAGAGAAATGTTTTTTAACCTAGATTTAGAAAAGAAACTTTATAAGATGTCCTACTTGTTATTTATATGGAAATTTGTCATTCAGTATTCAAAGCCTACTAATTAATGTGTGTACTACTGTCAAGCCTTTTACTAGAGATATCGAAAATGAATCGTGTGTATTTATTTATATACATATACAGGGCTGGAAAATCCACATGGTCCATCTGCCTTTACATGAGAGCGACAAAGTAAAGTAAAGAAATCCGTGCGATAGACAAAGATGGCTATAGTGAAGACGTTTCACAATCTGAATAGTCACGGCTCGTTTCGGCTTAGAAGTGGGAGTGACTATTCAGATTATGAAACGTCTTCAATGTAACCATCCTTATCTATCGCACGGATTTCTATGACTTACTTTATTGCTCTCACGTAACGGCCGATGTACCATGGGGATTTTCCGAACCTGTATAATTTTGCTAAAGTGCAATTTTAATATAACACGCAAGGAAAAGAAACGGGGGAAGGGGCGGAGTTATTTAAAATTTTAGTTGTTTTCTATTTATTACAGTTAAACCTATACCATACAATCCCACGCACAATATTTTTTGTGAATTTGATAATAGAAACGGGCAATACAGAATATGTTACAAGTGAAAAATATAATCTACGTGTAAGGATTAAGAGAGATTAAGAGGGAACTAAAGTAAAAGAGAAGTCAATTACAATTTAGTACAGATGATATAAAGATTTTTAAATATAATTCTTTTACTATCTAGAACAGTTGTTGCTATAATAAATATATAAATATTTAGTGTGCATTGTTGTGTTCAATGAAATTCATTCACATGTTGTTTTAGAAAAAATTGTTATTTTTTTCAAAATCTGTCTTTTAACACAAGAATTTTTTTTAATCATTTTTTTTCTGAACCACTTATTTGATAACAAACTAAAAGATATATTTAATCTTTGGACTAACAAAAAATTTTAAGGTGGCGAATAATTCTATAAAACATTCGCATAATTACTCCTATATTTCTTTAATCCATAGGCATACCCTTTAGCGTTATTTTAATGAATACAAAATAGAGCAGGGTCAGTAAACACGTTAGTTTTATAAAAAAAAATATTAGACAAAAGTTATTGTTTTTATTGGGTTAAATACACGGTTAAAACTTTGACACTTATTTCTCTCTTACTTCTATGTTAGTCTTGAATTCATCTCTGTTTTTATGCCATGCATGGTTGATGTAGTAATTATGAATTTGGGTGACCAAAAATACATAAAACAAATTTTGTCATTGTATTGTATATGGACGTACTAATAAAAAACCGAATAGTATTGGTTTAATTTTTCGAATAATGTTTCAATTACTTATTTTTCAGATGGACAAATTGGTTTCCAAGAAGTTGAAGACGCCCAAGATGCTGACCGCTTTATAAAGGAGTCCACGGTGGGCGCTTTACAAAAAATCATACAGGAACAACAAGTGGACAGTCCTGGGACAGAGCCTGAGAAAGGTTTGGGTAAGTATTGTTTTTATTTTTATATAAGTTCTGTCAATATTTCCTGGGGGAAGGACATATGTGGAGGTACAGATGTAGTTTCGGTAAAAAATTTTAGTATCCGACTCCATATATTTATAGCAATTTTTAAAATATATTATGTTTGTAGGTATTTTGCTGTAAACTTGAGAAAAAAACAAAAAAAAACTTGTAAAAAAAAACAAAAAACAATAAAGGATAAATTAGAAAAGAAAAGATTAAAATAAAAGGAAATTTGAAATAGAAAAAATTTATATTTTTCAGTGTTCTTTTTTTGTAGATACAAATGTTTTTATTTTCAAAATTGTATTTATTAGTTACTGTAAAAGATGTTGGCAGAATTCAATTTTTCGAAGAAAAATTTTTTCTAATAATCATTTCTTATCTCAGTAAAAAACATACATACTGTAATTGTATTTTATTATATTTTATTTTATTTAATACACTGTTCAACACGTACTACCCAATTATAGAACAGGGATTTTACAGACAATAATAAAATACGTACATTAATTATAAGCAAAATTAAAAGGAACAAAAAAATACAGATCATCATAAAAAAGAAGGATATACATAAAATCTATGCACTAAATAATACACATAAATGAAGATTAACATTACATATTTGAAACTACCAGACATTACAAATAAAGTATTTTTAAGTCATTAAAGCTGCAGTTAAAAATATTTACAGAATTTTTATTGTAATGGCAGATTGGAACGAGCAATCTAGACGAGCATATTGAAAGTACATGATCCAGTGATAAAAAGTATGCGTTGGATTTGTTTGTCACACTTCTCATCTACTGAGTATAAAGAAATGAAAGAAATAAGTTCTGGTAACAACATTTTTTAATCAGATCTTAATGATATTACTTTCGCAATGAAAACAGTAACATTAATAATACCATCACTTACTTTAATTTAGTACACAAAATTAAAAAATCGAGATGTTAGTGAGACAATTTTTATTCAATTGTCACGTAGCGTCGGCAAAATTCCTACTGTATATTTTTGCGGAGATTTTGGTATTTGCGTTTATTTAATTAAGTTTTAATTTACATATTAACTTTAATAATAACGCTTTAAAAGAAAGTAGGCTGGGCGGTAAAGCAGACGAGTGTATCCCATATTATTTTGACCCGCCGAAACCGAATCCAAAGTCAGAATTCCTGGATCAATTAATATTTTAACCCTAATATCAAGACACTTCTCTAGAATTCACGATCTCATTGCACCATAACCCCATAACTCTGTACCTTCATAATTCCGTAACGCCATAAAATATATATTTTTTTAAATATTCCTTACATCTCTATTACTTAACTTATAAACCCCTTAACTAATCTTCGATTTACCGCATTCTCTTGCATTGTATACATTCATTAATAAAAAACATGCAGGGTAACTCTCACCCCACAAATTTATATTGTTTCCCATACAGCACTGTTTTCCTAATTGTTCGGCAACAGACAGGCTAGTGTCGGCTTTATGCCAACCTTCAGGAGAAAATGATATAAAATGATTAATTACTGTATATGGGGTCGCCATAAATTAAAATTAAAAAAGCCTTGAAAAAGAAGAAACAATGCCAGGAGGCCGCTGCCATTAAAAAAAGCATCCAGTCAATTAAGAAGTGATTTATGGCTAGTCTCGTATTACCAAACACTTTTATCATTAATGTCTGGTATTTTTAGAGGTTTATCGGTTTATAGGGGAAAACTAGGATATCGGAAAGCGTGGGAATGGTTTTGTATGTTATAGAAATAGTAGATATACTCGTAAGTAGTCTAATATCCAAAATCATCGGATTCAGTTACTATCAGATACCAGACGATAATGGATTGATATGTACATCTTTCAATTATTGGCGAAGAGAACTGGAAACTGTTACTAAAAACTTCAGAATTTTGATGCCAATACGCAATGTATTTGGAAATTTGATCAGTGGATTTAATTCCTAACAGTGTTTATAGAAAAATAAATCTCTTTTGGACTTTTAAAATTGTATTTCGAAGAAAAAATTTCTCTCTGGTAGTTATCTAACTCATCTAAATCTTCGGGTAACTTATTGTAGGATAAAACCCAGAGGTGAAACATTAGATTAATCGCAGACAATATAGCTTATGAGGGAAGCTGTTTTGTCTGTGGATGAATAGATTTAAAACTTTCCTCATTCACGTTTTTCTATTCATTATAGTTTTTATCAATTATAGGTACATCTATCTCTATACATCCATAAATTTAGGATATATTGTACAACCAATATTAATGGTTAATTACTAGATAATTTTTGTTATTTTTTTGAAAATAATTGAAAAAAGATTTAGAATTATTAAATTATACCCGCCATATCTAGTAAATAACTAGGATTTTTTATCGGCCGTACCCACCAGACATATACCGCTTTCGACCTTATTCATTCTTATCAATAGTCATAGATGGAAGCATCGACGAGTGATTCAGCTATTTCTGGTGTGTATTTTTGTGTATGCTCACTACTACCCAGTGCCTAGGCCTTCACATGGCTAAACTGGCAGAGAGCGATCTATTATTTTTCAGGTTTTATGAATGCAAGACTTGTGTCGCCACTGGGTGAAATAATGTTTGAACTGATGACCTTCGGAAATCAACTACTCTTAGGCCAGTCATTATAGCTTTTTTTCGGGAAAAAAATACTGTTAGAAGTTTCTCTGCGGAATATTGTTCAGAAACGTGTTATAAACAAAATATCAAAAAATTAACTCGAGACTAGTTGGAAAACTTTGTTAAAATAATGGTCAAAGTTATGGAAAAGTGTTTTTTTGACTCGCTTAATAAAATACTGTTATTCATAGAGAAAAAAAGCTTTATACAAAAAAGGTAGGTATTAAATAAATCTGTAAAATAAGACAAGTCCGATTAAAATCCGATAATTTGTTTATGCGCAAGAGCTCAAAAATGGTCGAAATTGTCTGCTTTTTTCAATTGTTAATAATTTATCCAATTTTCATCGCAGACACTTGCAATTCAGGATTTTTGAGGCTTTTTGCACCCTTAATAAGTAGTAAAAATTTCAGCCCAAAAGCTTCATTAGCTTGGCGTTTAGGAATTTGTTATCTAAGAAGATGCTATTTTCAATTCATTTTTCCCAAGCTCACAGGCGTTGTAGGGTTTCGATCATTAGTTGTTTCTGTACCTAAATAGTTGTATTGACATATGCATTTACTGACAATTTAATTTTTTAAATTTAATGTGTTTAAAAATGACTGAAAAAATGTTAATTATTAAATTGTTAAGCGCGCATGCTCCGCCTCGCTCTCCCCACTCGTTCCCTAGACCAAGTAATAGAACGCATCGCCGCTATCTTCTTTTTCGCAATTAAATAGTTGAATTCACCTTAATGTTAATGTAGGACATGAAAATATAGCTCTTAATGTATACTCTCTCCAAATTTCGGCTCTTAATATTAATAATTAAGGCCACTGCGATTAAATAAAAAAAAGTTATCTCAGTTTCTAATCAACTTACGATTTTTTTTAAATTCGAAGAAAACTAAGGTATAGAGGTTACTATTTTATTTTATAATAATTACCTATTTTAACAATTTAATAAATATTAACATTTTTTCAGTCATTTTTAAACAAATTAAATTTGAAAAACTAAATTGTCAGTAAATGCATATGTTAATATAACTATTTAGGTACAAAAACAACTAATGATCGAAACCCTACAACGCCTGTGAGCTTGGGAAAAATAGCATCTTCTTAGATAACAAATTCCACCAACGCCAAATAAATGGAGCTTTCGGGCTGAAATTTTTACCACTTATTAAGGGTGTAAAATGCCTAAAAAATCCTGAATGACAAGTGTCTGCGATGAAAATTGCATTAATTATTAGCAATTGAAAAAAACGGCAATTTTCGACCATTTTTGAGCTTTTGTGCATAAACAAATTATCGAAATTATTAATCGGACTTTTCTCATTTTATAGGCTTATTTAATACCTACCTTTCTTGTATGAACTTTTTTTCGCTATGAATAATAGTTTTTTCACGCGAGTCAAAAAACCAATTTTCCATAACTTTGACCACTGTTAAAACAAAGTTTCCCAACTAGCCTCGAGTTGATTTTTTGATATTATATTTATAACAGGTTTCCGAACAATATTCCGCAGAGAAACTTCTAATAGTATTTTTTTCCCTAAAGAGGCTCTTTCATGTCAATAATGACTGGGCTATCTGCGAGCCAGTGCTTTCTGCTTGAAGACCTAGGTACCGAGAGAAGTAACCACTCATAGATGTAGCATTGTTACATCTCATCTACAGGTTCGGAAAGTACCGATGGTCGATCTGCCGTTACGTGAGAGCGATAAAGTAAGACATAGAAATCCATGCGATAGAGAAGGATGGCTAAATGAAGGCGTCTCATAGTCACCGCCCGTTTCGCCCTTCTACAAATAAGATCCACTTCTTATTTGTGGAAGGGCGAAATGGGCGGTGACTATTAGACGCATTCATTATAGCCATCATTCTCTATCGCACGGATTTCTATGACTTACTTTATCGCTCTCACGTAACGCCAGATCGACCATGGATACTTTCCGACCCTGTATACTCATTCCCTGTCTGTAGTTTAGACTCTAAAAATAGCTGGATTTTCTGTCAGCTGTCCCATGAAAGAGCGCGTTTGCGACACATCAATTGCAGCTTCAGCATAAACAAAATAAAACAGTTGGAATTGCTTTTCGATAGCTTTCAGTGTTAAAGCTGGCTAGGGAATGATATTGACGAGCATGAAAGCAACCAAGATTGTTTGTCGACAGCGTTTTATATAAGTGATGTTTTCCTAACAAATACCTTTAGGCTATTTCGGATGAGAATTAACATACATACTTTTAATATGGTGGTATGTCATTGGAATCAGAAAATTAGTGACGGTTAGAGGAATTACATACCCAGGTTAAAACCAAGGTTGCTGACTCTGATGTCTGTTCATATCTG